TGGAAATTAGATGGTGTTAGTTATTTTCACACATGTTATAGATGCCCCAAACCTTGAAGATGTATCGTGGTTCCTAGAGTTTCTCGACAGTGCTATTATAAGCAAAAGGCAAACAACCCAAAAGCTACAGCTCTATATACCTCCAATAAAAGGCTGAAGTCCAAGTTGTTTAGATGGATTAATAATTGATGAGCTTGTTTAGATGGACTTAAGCCTTGTATTGGAGGTATATAGAGCTTTAGCTTTTGGATTGTTTGCCTTTTGCTTATAACAGCACTGTCGAGAAACTCTAGGAATCTTAAGTAATCTTCAAGGTTTGGGACATCTATATAACATCCTGTGTGATATAACTTACACCATCCAATTTCCAGCGTTTGAGTAAAACATTTCGCCCAAAATTGAGGCAGGGGATGCCAAGCCACTCATACCTCCAACTCTTAGACAAGGCGCTTGTAAGAATAGCATCTCGTGTTGTCAAAAAAGAGAGTATGTGCCTCTTGATTTCAGCTGGGAGTTTTGTTATACGGTCATCTACTTGCTCTATCGACATCTACATAAAAAAAGTGTAAAGATGAACACTTAGTTTATAACATCAATGATTAATCCTTATTAAGACAGGTAAACAATTAAAGTTTTGTAAACTAATAAGTGGATAATTAAATTGTAAGATGAGAAATAATAATCATGCAAAGCCTTTCTTTGCATAAAAGTTTTTGATGTCAAGCTCGATTATAACATGCATAAACGGTATGCCATAGTGACTAATTATTTTGTGACGATCTAAAATCAGTAAAATGTATGATGTCCATTTGATGTAGTATTTAACATCAATTTGATGTTAATTCTACATATTCATATATGAAAAAATAACACCTCAAGCATGAGTAAAGAGTCTAAAGTAAACCAAATTAAAATGCATCATCTATGGGTCATAGGCTCATTATAAATAATAAGTAGTACGGTTTGACAGTTCGGTTTCGGTTCGGTTTGAAATCGGTTCAAATGTCTTTCGGGTCGGTTTCAGTTCGGTTTAAATAATTATCGGTTCGATTCGGTTTCGGTTTATTCTTGAACGGTTTAAATTCAGTTCGGTTAGTAAACGATTCGGGTAGTAAACGGTTCGGTGCAAACGGGTTGCGGTTTGTTAACGGTTCGGTGTAAACGGTTTTTATCCCGGTTTAAATTCGGTTTGGGTTGTAAACGGTCCGGGTTGTAAACGGTTCGGTGCAGACGGGTTGCGGTTTGTTAACGGTTTGGTGTAAACGGTTTTTATCCCGGTTCAAACAGTTTCGGGTTAGAAACAGTTTGGCTCTTTTTTTGTTCAAGTTTATAACCGGTTCGGTTCGTTAACGGGTTTGGTTCTTCTATAATTAAACATTATTTGGATCGGTTTTATTTAAGGTTTACTAAATTACGGTTTGGGTCTGTTTTTTATTTTAAAAAATCGGTTTTTTATCGAGTCGTTTGGATTTGGACAATTAAACGAATTTTGGTTTGAAATTTTATACTACTTTCTAACTTTTTGGTGGTTAACAAGTTTTATATCAAGCCGAGACTTCATCACTTCATATTGAGGCATCATATTATATGCAAATTCTCATTAATTTTATAAATGCATATCATGTTATGTTTCCAGTTTAGCCATACTGATCTTACTAGTTTATTACGAATTAGATTATAAAAGTTTACTGCATTAATGTAATATTGTTTCACTATCAGATTATAATCTGCTTCTTATTTGATCATTTAGTTAATAGTGTTATAATCATGATTTGATGAGTTGTTGTGACATCGAAATTTGCAATTTGGTATTTGATACTTAATTAGTCAACAAGACTGATAATTAAGACTCGTTTATCATCATATATTTGCATAAAGTTATATATGAACATATTAATTACATAGTAGTTTGATTTGTATAATGATATAAAACATTAATGAAGAAGAAGGTAATATTGATTTTTTCAATCGATTATACATATACATAACATCTAACCATCTCATATTCTCATAGTTAAATATTATTAGTATAAAGGGATGAGAATCATAAGATTATTAGATTTGTATATCCTTTACTGGTTTACCCCTAAGGCTTAAGTCACTGATTAGTAATTAATAATTACTTAATTAGACTAACAAGTTAATAAGAAAGAGTAACTTTTAACTTGAGTCTAATAGATCAAATACTGAAATGCCATTAGTATATTACCGAGTATGATAGTCCAGTACACTGCTAATCTGTTATGCAGCTATGCTAACTTGACAATTGCTGATATAGTCATATTAGTCAATCACTCATGTAGTCATAACTCATATCTAATTAAGTAATTTGTATTTATGTACTAATCTACTAGTCAATTCTATCATTTATAAGTTTACACAATTACAAGTGTATTGCTTATAGGTATAGCTAAACTGATATAATTATAATCATATAACAAATCCATAGTACTTCTAACTATCTAAGGTATGACGTCATTATATTATTAAACAATCTTTGATTTTTTATTAATCGCATCGCTAAACATTTATACGTTAACCGATTCACATTTTATAATTTGAGAAACGTATATTTTAATGTGTGTGTTAAAAAATATAAAAGTTGATATTATGAAAGTATATATCGTTTTATCGGGATTCGAGAAATGAAATTAGTTTTTTTAAGCCATGTAATTAAATATTTGTATAAAAATTTGTTTATTGTTATTAAAATAAAATTAAATTTTTTGAATTTTATAAAGTGGAAAATTGATTTCATTTCTTTTGCTTGACAATTTCATCAAAATATAAATGGTGGGAAATTTCCCTCCAAAAACCAAAAGGAAAAACAAATTTTAGATTTAGAATTTAGATATTTTGATATTAAGAAAATAACGTGGTTCATATATTATGCAAAAAAAAAAAAGGTGAAACGTGTATGGTAGCCAACTAGGTCATGTCCTCTTCATTCACCACTTCACCAGCCGTTTTGGTTCTTCTTCTTCATTCTTTAGTTCTTCTTCTTCAGCCTCAAATCAGTTCTTCTTCTTCATCCTCAAATCCAAGCGCTGAATTCACTCACTCTTTAGTTCTCAACTCTTCAAGCTCAACTTGAGGTAAATTTTAGTTAATTTAAATCGGTTTTCGTTTCGTTTTTTTTTTTCGATCTCAAGTTCTCCATTCTCGTTTTTTATTTCTATCTCCAGTTCTCCATCTTCAAATCTTCCTCTCCTTCAAGCCGTCACAACTCAAAGATAATTTTCTGTTTTTTTTTTTTTTTTTTTTTTTTTTTTTTCATTTCGGTTTTTTGTTATTGACGAGATTTGCATGTCTTAAATTTTTTATATTTAGTTCTGATTCGTATTGTTCTTCATATAATTTGTGTTAATTTTTTGATTTTATGTTGTGATTTGTATTTGGAAAATGAAGTCTCTCACAAATTTATTAGCTAGAACTTTTAGCCTTCATAGCTATAATGGCTTATGATTTTATAAACAGTTAAAAAGAAAACTTCTTTTGAGTATTTGACTAGATGGTGACTCATGTGATACTTGTGTAGTCTAATTATGTGATACATCTTCACTTTTGTAGTCTAATTTCATTACTAAATTACTCTTAAACTGCTGAAAGAAAAATAAATTACAAGTAGATATATAATATATAGGCTATTCGATTAGTGTATATATTCATAAAGATGATGACCAAAATATGTTGTGTGATGAAGCCATCCAGTTATTAAACTTATATTCTGCTAGTCATGGAGACTAAACCTGAGAGATGGTATATAACAGAGCAATCTAAGAGCATCATTATTGGTGAACACAAAAAAATGGTTCATGGGTCACTATCACCATTTCTCTCTCATCCACATCAACCCAACAAACCATTTACAATATTCACTCTTAACAATAAACACTAAACAATGGTTCATCATCAATACTCCCTACCCTACCTTATTTTATTTTTGTAAGGGCATCTTTAAGGGTGAACTATTTAATTGTTCACAATGAATAAACAAATAAAGTGGTGGCTTAATGGCAAACCTTTAATGGTTCATGTTGAGTGGTCATGGGTTTGATTGCAGGAGCAAGCATTTCCATGAATTAATTCGCTGTGGGCCCCACCAATATTTTGGACTGGTATTATAGCAAAACGACGTCGTTTTGCTGTTTCATGGTGCAAAACGACGTCGTTTTGTTGTTGAAGCTCAGAAAAAAAAAATAGAAATCAGCGGCTGGGAGCGCGCCACTTGGCCCAGCCGCTGCTTGACACGTGTGCACTGTTTTAAATATATCCGTTGTAATTTTGCAACGGATATATTTTACAAAATACAAATAAAAAAAAAAAAAAAATTACCAACGACTCTATTTTTTTCCCCTCTATAAATAGACACCCATATTGATATATTTTTTTCAACTTTCAAAATTCATTTTTTTCTACTATATTTTTCTCTTCAAAAATCCCCTCTATAATTACCAATATTATTATTATTTATACCAATATTAATATTATTATTGTTATTATTATTTTTAATTATTATCATTAATATTATTAATAATATTATTATTATTGTTTTTATTATTATCGTTATTATTATTATTATTATTTTTATAATTATCGTTATTATTATTATCGTTGTTATTATTATTATTATTATCATCGTTGTTATTATTATTATTATTATTATTATCGTTATTATTATTATTTCTATTATTATTATTGTTATTATTATTATTATTATTAAATTTTTATTTTTTCCAAATATAAATTATAATTATGGATGCTAATACCAACCCCAAAACAAATAGAAAGCAAAAAAAAAAATTGGGTCAAAATATAATCCCAAATCAAGCTAATTTTCCTCTAATTCACCCAAATTTTTCACAAATATTCCCCATAATTTTTCTGGAGTTTATCCTCAAATACCCCAGTCAAGTTTCCCATATAATCCACCAAATTTCCCTCAAAATTTTAATTTTTCTCAAAGCAGTTCAAATTTCCCACATCCATCCATGATACCAATGGGTTACGGTGAATATGGTGCTGCATCTGGTTATTTTCCGTCACAACAACCGAATCTCAATATTTGGGAATCGAACAATGTCTTATCTGAAGAAGATGAGGCAAATGAAGAATGCGAGGATGATGGTGAGGGAAATGAAACTCCTTCTCCCCATCAAAACTTCAGTCAAATGTTACAGCAACCACTCCAATAAACTCCTGAATATCGTGTTGGTGGTTCAAACAATAGAGGTTGGTCGCGATCAGAAACTGCGGCTCTTATATCCGGCTACATGAACACCAGCACCGACATAATTATCGGCACAAATCAAAAGAAGGGTGTATTTTGGAAGAGAGTCTTGGACGCATACGATGCTGCCAGGGAATCGAATCCAGATGAAATATCCCTACGAACTATTAGTAGTTTGAAGGGAAGGTGGATGCGAATCTCTGAAGCCGTGTTAAAGTGGTGCGGAAGCTATGATAAGGCCCGGAAGCGAAAGGGAAGTGGCTATAACAAAGATGATGTTATCCAAGAGGCCCACAAAATCCATGAGAACTCGTTCGGACGATTCACCTTCTACGAGGAATGGATCCAACTAAGGAAGTGGGACAAATTCCGGTCTTTCTTGGACCAACAAACATTCAAGCCATCGGTGGGACGTCCACATTCAACTCCACTGACGGATGAGTCTGTAGGGAGCGGAAGTAGTGGGAAGAGGACACGGGATGAGGGTGACAATTCCTCACCTACCACACCAACCAGCGTGGGTGTCGGTGATGAGAGAGTAGCTCGTGCTGAAGGTATTAAAAAGGCTAAGTCGAGGTTGAAGGGTAAAGCTCCATCAAGTCAAGCATTTAAGGAATTAGAAACATTCAACACTCGATTGCAGCTTTTTGGGGAGTCGATGAATGTGTCAAACGAAGCAGAAATGAAGAGACTTGAAATACAAGAGCGCAAGGAGGCAAGGAAACAACGGAAAATTGAGCTAGAGTAATATAGGATCAACTGGGAGCAACTATCTCGTCTAGAACAGAAAGTAAACCGAGAGCAATGGGAAGACGAAATGATAGTAATACTTCGGAACAATATTCAACGTTTCAATAATGATGCTTAGTGTCCTTTATTTTTATTGTAGTTAAGTGTGTTCAATTCCTTTGTTGTTCTTCATTTTCAGTAGTGATAAGTTTTCAATTCCAGTTCAACCTCTTGTACTCATTTCCTTATGTTTGTACTTTATTAATTAATCAATAAAATGTAATCTTTTTGTTTCATAATTATAATTTATTAACCGATGTCAATGTAATTAATTGACGTATTTAATATTTTAATCGTGATTACTAATTAAGAAATTATCGCGTTTTTTTATCAGCTTTTTAAAAAATTAATTCTTGTGATTAATATTTTTTAAAAAACAACGCAGCTAATTTTAATTAACATAAAAAAAAGGAGGTACAAATCGTGATTACAGTTCTACAACTATAATCTAGTACATTTTATTTAAAAAAAAAAAAACACAACTACACATCGTTTTGTAAGATGTCCTTAGGGATAACCATTTGTTGTAAACCTAGTTGCCTAAGTTTTCGTTGTTACCAAATTTATTCCATATATGTTCGACCAAGTCGTTTTTTAGCTGCAAATGAGTCTGTTGATCCTCAATCTCTGTTCTACGAGACAAGTATAAGCCGATATCCACAATACGATCAGTACGGTACTCGGTAGTGTCCTCATTAGCGTTCCCTCCAGCATTCATAAACTTATTGGTATTAACGTTATTTTGATACGTCTCTCGTTCATCTTCAACGATCATATTATGTATTATGATGCAGGCGAGCATGATATTGTGGAGTATGTCGGTATCCCACGCCAAAGACGGCTTTTTAATAATGGCAAAACGAGCTTGAAGGACCCCAAATGCGCGTTCAACGTCTTTCCTTGCAGTTTCCTAGTGTTTTGCGAATAAACGATCCTGACGAGTTTGTGGACTCGTAATGGATTTCACAAAAGAAGCCCATCTAGGGTAGATTCCATCAGTAAGATAATACACATTCGTATAATGATGACCATTGACTACGAAGTTGACAGGAGGTGTCCGACCCTCTAAGACGTCTTCGAACACAGGGGATCGATGAAGCACATTAATATCGTTGCAGCTACCTGGCATCCCAAAAAACGAATGCCATATCCATAGATCTCTGTCCGCAACTGCCTCCAGTATGAGAGTTGCAACTCCTTCTCTTCCTTGATACTGCCCCTTCCATGCGTGTGGACAGTTCTTCCACTCCCAGTGCATACAATCAATGCTACCTATCATGCCAGGAAATCCACGTTCTTCCCCAATACGTAGCAATCTTTCCATATCTGCGATGTTTGGACGGCGTAGGTACTGATCACCGAACAGGTTGGTGACACCTTCTGTAAACTTTTGGAGTGCCAATCGTGAAGTAGCCTCACTTTTACGGACATACTCATCACAAGCGTCTGAAGCACACCCGTAAGCTAGTTGTCTAACGGCCGCAGTGCACTTTTGAAGTGGAGACAAACCAAGACGACCTGCCGCATCTCGCCTTTGTTGAAACCAAGGGTCATGTTGGGTCACTGCGTTGAGAAGGCGCTCAAACACATGTTTACGCATTCGAAACCGGCGCCGGAACAAGGAACTTGGATAAACTGGGACTTCCGCGAAATAGTCATTGTATAACCGTGCATGACCTTCTTCGCGTCCCCTATCCTTTCGGGGCTCAATAGATTTCCGTCGGCGTTGCTGAGTGGCAGCCTGAATAATTGGTGGAATGTACTCATGCATTACGTGTTGTATCATAAGACACACTTCATTACGTTGTTGAACTCTAAGCTCCCTTCCCTCATCATCCGAGTTAGATGAAGATGAAGGGGAATCGGTTGAGCTTTCGTTTAAACTATTTGAATTCATTTTGTACGTAAGAAATGTAAGATAGAGTGAGGTTTGCTAATAGTAACTGCAAACGATTTATGTGTTTGTGTGTATACAAAATGAAAGAATGGTGTTTATTTATAGTGAACTAATTTGTAATTCTTCTTCAGAAATAGCTGAATATAAAGAGACAAAGATCACATGGCTATGACAAACAATGAATTACAACCACACAGAAATTGAATGGAGAAGAAGGGTTTCACATGGGCTATGACAAACACTGAATTAGAACCACACAGAAATTGAATGGAGAAGAAGGGTTTCACATGGGCTAACAAAGGGGAAATTAAGATACTGACACAATTATATATAAAGAGACAAATTGATATAATTGAATAAACAGAATAAGATCACATGGGCTATGAAAATGGGAAAGTGGAAAAGATACATTGTATTGATTAATTGATAAAGTACAAACATAAGGAAATGAGTACAAGAGGTTGAACTGGAATTGAAAACTTATCACTACGGAAAATGAAGAACAACAAAGGAATTGAACACACTTAACTACAATAAAAATAAAGGACACTAAGCATCATTATTGAAACGTTGAATATTGTTCCGAAGTATTACTATCATTTCGTCTTCCCATTGCTCTCGGTTTACTTTCTGTTCTAGACGAGATAGTTGCTCCCAGTTGATCCTATATTGCTCTAGCTCAATTTTCCGTTGTTTCCTTGCCTCCTTGCGCTCTTGTATTTCAAGTCTCTTCATTTCTGCTTCGTTTGACACATTCATCGACTCCCCAAAAAGCTGCAATCGAGTGTTGAATGTTTCTAATTCCTTAAATGCTTGACTTGATGGAGCTTTACCCTTCAACCTCGACTTAGCCTTTTTAATACCTTCAGCACGAGCTACTCTCTCATCACCGACACCCACGCTGGTTGGTGTGGTAGGTGAGGAATTGTCACCCTCATCCCGTGTCCTCTTCCCACTACTTCCGCTCCCTACAGACTCATCCGTCAGTGGAGTTGAATGTGGACGTCCCACCGATGGCTTGAATGTTTGTTGGTCCAAGAAAGACCGGAATTTGTCCCACTTCCTTAGTTGGATCCATTCCTCGTAGAAGGTGAATCGTCCGAACGAGTTCTCATGGATTTTGTGGGCCTCTTGGATAACATCATCTTTGTTATAGCCACTTCCCTTTCGCTTCCGGGCCTTATCATAGCTTCCGCACCACTTTAACACGGCTTCAGAGATTCGCATCCACCTTCCCTTCAAACTACTAATAGTTCGTAGGGATATTTCATCTGGATTCGATTCCCTGGCAGCATCGTATGCGTCCAAGACTCTCTTCCAAAATACACCCTTCTTTTGATTTGTGCCGATAATTATGTCGGTGCTGGTGTTCATGTAGCCGGATATAAGAGCCGCAGTTTCTGATCGCGACCAACCTCTATTGTTTGAACCACCAACACGATATTCAGGAGTTGATTGGAGTGGTTGCTGTAACATTTGACTGAAGTTTTGATGGGGAGAAGGAGTTTCATTTCCCTCACCATCATCCTCACATTCTTCATTTGCCTCATCTTCTTCAGATAAGACATTGTTCGATTCCCAAATATTGGGATTCGGTTGTTGTGACGGAAAATAACCAGATGCAGCACCATATTCACCGTAACCCATTGGTATCATGGATGGATGTGGGAAATTTGAACTGCTTTGAGAAAAATTAAAATTTTGAGGGAAATTTGGTGGATTATATGGGAAACTTGACTGGGGTATTTGAGGATAAACTCCAGAAAAATTATGGGGAATATTTGTGAAAAATTTGGGTGAATTAGAGGAAAATTAGCTTGATTCGGGATTATATTTTGACCCAATTTTTTTTTTTGCTTTCTATTTGTTTTGGGGTTGGTATTAGCATCCATAATTATAATTTATATTTGGAAAAAATAAAAATTTAATAATAATAATAATAATAATAATAATAACAATAATAATAATAGAAATAATAATAATAACGATAATAATAATAATAATAATAATAATAACAACGATGATAATAATAATAATAATAACAACGATAATAATAATAACGATAATAATAAAAATAATAATAATAATAATAACGATAATAATAAAAACAATAATAATAATATTAATAATAATATTAATGATAATAATTAAAAATAATATTAACAATAATAATATTAATATTGGTATAAATAATAATAATAATATTGGTAATTATAGAGGGGATTTTTGAAGAGAAAAATATAGTAGAAAAAAATGAATTTTGAAAGTTGAAAAAAATATATCAATATGGGTGTCTATTTATAGAGGGGAAAAAAATAGAGTCGTTGGTAATTTTTTTTTTTGATTTGTATTTTGTAAAATATATCCGTTGCAAAATTACAACGGATATATTTAAAACAGTGCACACGTGTCAAGCAGCGGCTGGGCCAAGTGGCGCGCTCCCAGCCGCTGATTTCTATTTTTTTCTGAGCTTCAACAGCAAAACGACGTCGTTTTGCACCATGAAACAGCAAAACGACGTCGTTTTGCTATAATACCAGTCCAAAATATTGGTGGGGCCCACAGCGAATTAATTCATGGAAATGCTTGCTCCTGCAATCGAACCCATGACCACTCAACATGAACCATTAAAGGTTTGCCATTAAGCCACCACTTTATTTGTTTATTCATTGTGAACAATTAAATAGTTCACCCTTAAAGATGCCCTTACAAAAATAAAATAAGGTAGGGTAGGGAGTATTGATGATGAACCATTGTTTAGTGTTTATTGTTAAGAGTGAATATTGTAAATGGTTTGTTGGGTTGATGTGGATGAGAGAGAAATGGTGATAGTGACCCATGAACCATTTTTTTTTGTTCACCAATAATGGTGCTCTTAACAATGAACACTAAACAATGGTTCATCATCAATACTCTCTACCCCACCTTATTTTATTTTTGTAAATATAATCTTTTTTGTTTCATAATTATAATTTATTAACCCGATGTCAATGTAATTAATTGACGTATTTAATATTTTAATCGTGATTACTAATTAAGAAATTATCGCATTTTTTTATCAGCTTTTTAAAAAACTAATTCTTGTGATTAATATTTTTTAAACAACAACGCAGCTAATTTTAATTAACAAAAAAAAAAAGAGGTACAAATCGTGATTACAGTTCTACAACTATAATCTAGTACATTTTATTTTAAAAAAAAAAACTACACATCGTTTTGTAAGATGTCCTTAGGGATAACCATTTGTTGTAAACCTAGTTGCCTAAGTTTTCGTTGTTACCAAATTTATTCCATATATGTTCGACCAAGTCGTTTTTTAGCTGCAAATGAGTATGTTGATCCTCAATCTCTGTTCTACGAGACAAGTATAAGCCGATATCCACAATACGATCAGTACGGTACTCGGTATTGTCCTCATTAGCGTTGCCTCCAGCATTCATAAACTCATTGGTATTAACGTTATTTTGATACGTCTCTCGTTCATCTTCAACGATCATATTATGTATTATGATGCAGGCGAGCATGATATTGTGGAGTATGTCGGTATCCCACGCCAAAGACGGCTTTTTAATAATGGCAAAACGAGCTTGAAGGACCCCAAATGCGCGTTCAACGTCTTTCCTTGCAGTTTCATGGTGTTTTGCGAATAAACGATCCTGACGAGTTTGTGGACTCGTAATGGATTTCACAAAAGAAGCCCATCTAGGGTAGATTCCATCAGTAAGATAATACCCATTCGTATAATGATGACCATTGACTACGAAGTTCACAGGAGGTGTTCGACCCTCTAAGACGTCTTCGAACACAGGGGATCGATGAAGCACATTAATATCGTTGCAGCTACCTGGCATCCCAAAGAACGAATGCCATATCCATAGATAATATTGCCATAATAAAAATATTAGTAACGATAATAATAATATTAATGATAATAATTAAAAATAATAATAACAATAATAATATTAATATTGGTATAAATAATAATAATATTGGTAATTATAGAGGGGATTTTTGAAGAGAAAAATATAGTAGAAAAAAATGAATTTTCAAAGTTGAAAAAAGTATATCAATATGAGTGTCTATTTATAGAGGGGAAAAAAATAGAGTCGTTGGTAATTTTTTTTTTTTTTTTATTTGTATTTTGTAAAATATATCCGTTGTAAAATTACAACGGATATATTTAAAACAGTACACACGTGTCAAGCAGCGGCTGGGCCAAGTGACGCGCTCCCAGCCGCTGATTTCTATTTTTTTTTCTGACCTTTAACAGCAAAACGACGTCGTTTTGCAACATGAAACAACAAAACGACGTCGTTTTGCATGAATATCAGTCCAAAATATTGGTGGGGCCCACAGCGAATTAATTCATGCAAGTGCTTGCTCCTGCAATCGAACCCATGACCACTCAACATGGACAATTAAAGAGTTTGCCATTAAGCCACCACCTTATTTGTTCACTCATTGTGAACTATTAAAATGTTCACCCTTAAAGATGCTCTAATATCAAGGGTTCAGTCATTAGTCTCATTACACCTGTACCATGTTCGTATTATTGTATTAGTCAGCTGGTGTCTTTATCAATGAATCAGGTAAAGACTAAGGCGATACACTTAGAGCATTAGCTCAAGTAGAACATCACAATTGGACAAACTGTATCATAGCTACTTACCGGGTTAATGCAACTAGACAATTCAACTCTTACAAAATTCAGATTGCGGTGCAAACAACAGACTAACCTCCTTACTAAATAAAATTGCAGGGACTTGGAGATCTAGAAATGGAGCTGGTGATACCTTAGACAAGGATGCAAGATCAAGGAATGAACGTCTATATAAGACCATCATTTTGCTTTCCCCTACCATTGTCTGTAGTAAAATTGTCCTTGAACAAAAACTTAGACTTCTACACTCTATAGATTAATGTATAAAATATACTATTGTGATATTGTCCGATACATGCCTTCTTGCAATTTCAATCTCCTAGAATTAATAACCATATGACTATATGGGGATTCTGTGAAGCGAAGCTACGTACCTAATAAGTGAATAAATTATATGAGCTACGTACCTAATAATTGATTAAAAATATAAGAACAGTTAATCGAACATCAACTCATCAATTATTCTAGTTAAGGAGACTAATGTTTCCATAAGCTATAAAATGAGAATGATAAATAAACTTGAGTATAAAATCAAAATTACAAAATTTTTGTACATCAGTAGCTCTAATCCCAAATATTGACATCTATTGTATAATTTTTTGTACATTAGTAGTTGTTCCTTTGAACCTTGTCTGATAATCTTATGTGTTTTTTTCTTTAAATGTAAGGCATTTAAAACCATTTAACATTCTTGAACAATGGAAATCATAAATCCATCTCTTTTCGAACTCAGGACATCATACTGAGGTCATAATAACGAGGGATGAATTGAGGAGATAATGACATGCACTGACCCGCACAATAACCACCCCTAGTAGAAAGTGGTTTGTAAACGGTTCGAATTATAAGCGATTCGGTTCATAAACGGTTTGGTTTATAAGCGGTTCGGTTTATAAGCGGTTCGGTGCAAACGGGTTGCAGTTTGTTAACGGTTTGATGTAAACGGTTTTTATGCCAATTCAAACGGTTTCGGGTAAGAAATGGTTCGATTCATTTTCGGTTTGGTTTCCTTTTCAGTTCGGTTTAGATTTGGTTCGGTTCTTATCGGTTAAACGTTTACTCGGATTGGTTCGGTTTCGGTTTTACTAACATGCGGTTCGGGTCGGTTTTCGGTTTCATAAAATCGGTTTTTAATTGGTTCAGTTCACATTCGGATCGGTTGAAACAGTTCGGTTCGGTTTTTCACAGTGCTAATAATCAGGCTTTCCATGTTATATCATCTCAATTCGATTTATTCAATTTAACGAAGGTTAATTTCTTTAAAGAACACAATAGATAATTGAATTGAAGTGCGAAGTACCATAATTTCTTAATAAAAAGTCATATCTTCAACTAAAAATATGTAGAATTATTTAGAGTATTAAGACTATTTTTCATGTTAATACTCTCAATTTGCTTAGGTAATGGTGTTGCATTTTGGGTTTATTAAGTATTAGAGCAAGTAACACAATTTATACATTGTATAAATTGGGTCTAAGGTTTTAATCTAAAAGCAAGAAATTAAAGTGACCGTTGTTTTCGTGATCGGTTACATTATCTGCTTTGGGTATAAGTGAGTAATCTTGAGATTATGATTATGCCAAAAGTCATGGCTTCTGTTACCAATTTTATACTCCCTAATAATAGTAGTATCTTACGTTATATTATACTCCTTAATAATAGTAGTATCTTACGTTATAAATTCTTAATGTCGTTATGCAAGTTATAATATTGTACCATGCAATATTGTAAAGTCTTCAATGATATAACGTATGAAGTTATAGTGCTTGATTTCGGTGGCTGAAAGTGAATGATATGCTTTCCATAATTATTGCTCAAAATACATAGGTAATATATATATATGTAATATATGGTGATTATGGTGGTCCGTGAGAAAAAGAAACAAAGAAGTTAATATTGTTTTCTCTTTCTCTAAATACTGTATTGCAAGTTCTCTATTTTTTTTGTCATCACAAATACAAATATTAGAATACATTGTGATTACAATTTGCCTACAGCAAATTGTAATTGTCCCGTTTTATCTCCTAAGTGAATTTTCGTGAAACCCGGTTGTAGTATTAGGGTCGAAATTACACTTTTGGAAAAGTGATTCTGTTCACGACTCGGTTAAATTTCTCTGTTTCATTTCCAACTTTCTTTGTAATTTCCTTAATTTTAATATAATCCCCAACAATCCAAAAGTGTAATTTGTTTACAAAGATGTCTTTGGTGAAGGAAATGATGACCAATTTTCAGAAATTGGAGAAATTTGAAGGTGTGGACTTTAGGAGATGGCAAAAGAAGATGCATTTCTTGTTGACTTCCCTTGGTGTGGCTTACGTTCTTTCAACTCCGAAACCGGTCGAGGAGGAAAATGAGACGATGGATGCCGTTTGTAAGAGGAACAAATGGGAAAATGATGATTACATATGCCGTGGTCATATACTTAACGGTATGTCTAATGTCTTGTTTGATGTTTATCAATTTAGTGAATCTGCTAAAATACTTTGGGATGATCTAGAGGCCAAGTATATGGCCGAAGATGCTTCAAGTAAAAAATTTCTTGTTAGCAAGTTTAATAATTTTAAAATTGTTGATGATAGATCAATTATGGAACAATACCATGAAATTCAACGTATTTTGGGTAGTTTTAGACAACACAACATTGATTTAGATGAGACTTTTATTGTCTCTTCTATCATTGAAAAACTACCGAACTCTTGGAAGACTTTTAGGAATGACCTAAAACATAAGAAGGAATCTATTAGTCTTGAGGATTTAGGAGCCCACATTCGAATTGAAGAGGGAATCCGAATCCAAGATGGTCAAAAGGATGGTAATCCTAATTCATCTACTATAAATATGGTTAGTGATGGTAAGACTAATAATAAGAAGAGGGGAAGTAATTTAAACACAAACAAGGGCAAGAAGCTCAAAGCAGATAGTGATGATAAAAAATCACGAGCTTGTTGGTGTTGCGGTAAACCTGGACACTTTAAGAAAGATTGTACCATATGGAAGAAAAAAGTGAGCAAGAAGCAAGCTCAAGATGGGAAAGGCGGGCCAAGCCAATCCCATGAGAAACAAGGTAATTCTTGTACACAAGTTTCACTTAATTCTTTTATAGATTATGTGTGTATGATTTCTGAAATCAATTGTGTGCAGGTTGATTGTTCGTGGTACATCGATTCGGGAGCGTTGAGGCATGTTTGCAAGGACAAATCATTGTTCAAGACCTTTACGGAGGTTGATGATGGAGAGATACTCTACATGGGCAATGACTCTACCGCCAAGGTGCTAGGCAAGGGACAAATTGAGCTAATATTTAATTCCAGAAAATCTCTTATTTTAAGAGATGTGTTGTATGCTCCCGAGCTTAAGAGAAATCTTGTCTCCGGTGCTATCTTGAATCGTTTAGGTTTTAAATTAGTGTTTGAATCAGACAAGTTTGTATTATCTAAAGGTGGTTTGTTTGTAGGACTTGGCTACTTGTGTGATGGAATGTTTAAACTTAGTAATTCTAATACTTTGAAAAATAAAGTGTATGTTGTTAATGATTGCTCTTCTCTATGGAATTTGAGACTTGGTCATGTTAATTATAAAAAAATTGCAATTTATGTCTAAACATGCTTTAATTCCAGCTTTTGATCCAAGTATAGAGAAGTGTAGAACATGCATGTTGACAAAAATCACAAGGAACCCTTTTCCTAATGTTGTTGAAAAGAACAATGCATTGCTTGAATTAGTGCATAGTGACTTATGTGATTTTCATAGCACTCCTTCTTTAGGGAATAAGAAATATGTGGTAACATTTATTGATGACTATTCAAGGTTTTGTTATGTTTATTTATTATTCTCTAAAGATGAAGCCCTTGACAAATTTAAAATCTACAAAAATGAAGTAGAATTGCAAACTAACGGTAAAATAAAAAGGCTAAGAACTGATAAAGGTGGAGAGTACTATAATCCAAGTTATTTCCAATCAATAGGATTAATACATGAAACAACCGCGGCATATACACCACAGCAAAATGGTGTAGCGGAAAGGAAGAATAGGAAATTGCAAGAAATGGTTAATTCCATGTTGTCCTATTCGGATTTAAGTGATGGATTTTGGGGGGAAGCCGTTTTAACGGCTTGTTACATTTTAAATCGAGTTCCTATGAAAGGGAATGAGGTAACCCCATATGAGCTATGGCACAAAAGGAAACCAAACTTGAGTTATCTCAAAGTTTGGGGTTGTAGAACAATAGTAAAAGTGCCGGAACCTAAACGTAAAAAGTTAGGTGAAAGAGGAGTGGAATGCA